AATCCTAGGAAAGCAGTATGGAATTACTCTCCCAAAATTGGTTTAAAAAATTCCAAGTGAACTTTTTAATATGGGATAGGAAGAGAAGGCTTTGATCAAAAATTAGTCAACTGATTCAAATGGAATCTCCTTTGGATAAAGCAGTAAGTTCAAAGCTATAATTTAAAAATATCAATATGTTCCTGCCTACTCAGACTTTTCATAAAGAAATTACAGAAAGAACAAAAGCTAAAATGCAGGATAAGCCTGTAAGTATGTAGACCATGCAGCATTTTGAAGTAGAAGACAACTATTATCTGGGGACTTTCTGACCAATATTATAGAGAAAGGGGATTATGGTTAACCCTTAAATGATGGTTAGAATTAAATCAAAAGGAAATGAGTGGATGGAACATTCCAGGAAATATTAATTGTGTGAACGAAAATGACTAGCTAGACATAAAGGGAGCAAGTTAAAGGGACAATGTAGAGTGCATCTTTTAAATATAGGCATTATGCGCAAGTACATCAATGTCATTGTCAGGTAGTTCTGGAGTTCACTTTCAAGTCATCTCGCCTGCTCCTGGCCAACGTGCCTTGGATAAACTAGGTCATTTCTTTGAGTTTCAGTTTCTTTACCGATGAAAAGGAAAAATTTGAATAGCTTAGAAATTTTGTGATTTAGGGTACAAATAACTGTTTTTGAATGTTGAGTACATTAATTTATTACTAAAGTGAAAACTATGCCTAACAAAATAACAGATTGCCACCTGTTATACTCATCTTTTAAATAAATATATTTCAAAGTAGAAAAGCCCATAGGTTCATAAATATGTGGGTATGTATGTGCATGTTTGTGTGTGACCTTTATATTAAACCTAGTCATTAAAAAGTAATGTAAGTAGCATACAGGGGGCAATTGGTAATTTTACTAATATATTCTTAATCTAGCTAAGTATATGGAATTTAAAATACTAGTGTGAAAAGTAACATGTAAATGGGTTGGAAAGCTTATTGGGAGAAAATACATGGAAAGTTCACATATGCATATTAAAAACTTAAGTGACTGAACACTATTTAAGAAAACAATGGAGGTTAGAGACAAGGAAACATCTTGATAATATTCATTCACTGAGGCAGTGCTATGCTTGTAGACTAAATATATGTCACACAGAGAAAAGAAAATATGGGAATAGGAAGTGTAGGTTGGTCTTACATTACTTCTTGGGAAACTTCAAAAGCAAGATTTTCTCCCTAGAGTCCAATGGCTTCTCAGTCCGCGGTGTGGGAATTGTATTAGAGCTTAATCTCTGCCAACTTAGTTTGCAGAGGGAGATGGATAAGAGGGAAAGCACAGAGTCCATTTGTAGGGGCCTCACGTGGATTAGCCTCTACTGAATGCCCTCAGACCATTTTACAAGGATGGGAACAGTTTTGTTCACAGAGAGGGTGAATGAAAAATGAATTACTGAAAATAACAGTGTGGCTTAAATTTCACATCTTACCTTTGGCTTTCCTTTGACCCATTTTTTTAATTGTTTTCCACTTCCTTTGGAAATAAGATTTTCTGTGGTATTGTTGGTGGTGTTGTTTTTTCTTTCTCTGTGTGTGATTTTCTTTATATGAAATCCAGGATGGGTAAACCTCTAGCGAGAGCAACTAAATCAATAGTTTCTAGGGTTTATGACAGAGCAGTTGGAAGGACAGTATGGATACAGGAAGAAAATGTGCCAAAATTGATGATAGCAATGGTTGTTAACCTTCCTAATGCCATGACCCTTTAATACAGTTCCTCATGCTGTGGTGACCCCCAACCATAACATTATTTTCATTGTTACTTCATAACTGTAATTTTACTACTGTTATGAATTGGGCAATCCCTATGAAAGGGTCGTTTGACCCCTAAAGGGGTTGTGACTCACCGGTTGAGAACCGCTGGATTATAATAACTGCATAACACTTTTTGATGTATTTGAACCAATGATATGTACATTATATTCCAATAAAATGGTTAAAATGATAAACAGTAGAAAAATAGAAATAATCAGATGGCCTAATGGTTTCTTATTTTGATGTGGATTGACCAAAATATCATCATGAATCCACTTAAGCAGCATTTAGAAATAACAGACTACATGATATTTAAGGGCTTTTGTCTTTCTGACATTTTAAGAACTCATAACTGGGACATTTTCCACATGATATTTTCCTGCGATTCACCTATAAGGTGGATAATAACCCAAGGCCCGTCTACCCCTTAAGCATGAACCAGATTATTGTATTATATATTGGAACAATTCTTGTTGAGGGTGCAGATAGCTATGGCAGGAACAAAGAAAGCATTATGGTGGAAGGCATGTGAGGTTATTTCTAGTCTCCACTTAGCTATCCTGGTGATGTCAACTTGTCATGACATTAGGTCATTTCTGGAAATCATGTGAAAGAGATGAAATGATATTTCCCTACCTACCTCACCAGGTTGATATATTGTTTAAATAAGATAGTATATTTTCATCATTTTTAGAAACTTTAGATGTACATAAAATTATTAATAAAATGCCAGTATGCATCTCTCAAATAAAGACAAATTTATTAATAATTTTGAGGAAATTGTATGGTAATGATTTTGATAAAATAACTGGATTAAACTGCAAAAAGCACAGTCTTAAAGATCTCCCTCCCCAAATCCTTATACATAAAATACATATAATTCAGTCTAAGTATCTTCTGTAGTAAGATTCTAAGAGGATACCATAATCAACATTGTCTCACACACAAATACCTAATCCTTTCCCTTTAAATCTGACATTGCATCTGCCTTTAACATTAGTCCAATGTTATGAACATCACTAGGCTTTGTTAAGCAATGTAAAAAAGTAAGGCAAGTAAAAATTTAGAGTTTGAAAAAACAGTCCAAGATTTAACAATGAAATATAGGCAGTAACTATAGTCCAAATGAAAGGAAATGTGCCTTTTCTTGGTTGGAGAACACTAATTATGACAGACTTGGCAGAAGTCTGGTGCTCCTAATTGCACGCAATTAGCAAATTGACATTTTCAAAATTGACAGTGATCACAGCTACATGCACAGCTCACTGTCCTGCTCCGTGGGAGCCGCTGCGCTGGTGGCTTGGGGCTCATCGCGGAAAACACATGCTCTTCATGTTCTCCCCATCGCTTCTCCCATGAGATTTTGGATGGCATTCGTGTGCTACAACCATCTGCATCTGGGGTATCCAAGTTTATAAGGAAAACCAATCCCTGAATTGGGAGCAAGATCTCTTTTTTTGCTATCACCAGAGCAGTGAAATCATGAACAAAACAATATTTTTCAAAAAGAACTCAGATACAGGTCATATTAGACAAACATTTTCTGTGGTTTTCCCGAAAGGGATGAAATTAGACTTACAGCATACTGATTGTTTAGTAGTGATATGCTTATCTACAATTCAAAATCAGAAAGGTATCTTCCCCGCATCACAGTCAGTGATCCTGTTGCAGTATCCCATTAGAGGATTTATTGTGGTACAGCGGTTCTGCCTTGTCTCGAAACCACACAGTCAGCACTCTGAGAGCACCAGTGCCCTTCAGGAGGAAGACAGGAGCTTTCTCCTCCATTAAAGCCTTCCCATCTCAGACACCCAAGGTGACAGTTCTCCGCTGGCTGTCCTATAGGGGTGCTCAAAGTTGCTGTAGACTCTATGACAACGAGGGAGCAAGATTATTCCTTTTAATGGGAAACAGCACATTGGGTTGTATTTTCTAACCATGTGATAAATGTCCCTCTCGTTCCTTGATTTGATATCTTTCCAGAAACTGATGTAGTGTGCATGAAAGCACACTCAGCAAAGCTTTCTTGAATGAATAAAATAATTATCTTTGGTATTTTATTTTCAGATAAAATGGAGAAGTGATCACTAGCAAAGTTTGAACATTTCAGACATATGCCATGCAAACTCAAATTATGGAAATGATAATATTATTTTGAGTTAACAAGATATTAGGCTTTAACTTAACATCTTGTAACATATTTTTAAATGGTAGAAAGACAAAATGTTACATTTAATATTTCTCTATTAATATTTAAAATGATTTATTCAAATTATCATATGTTTTAATAAAAAATCTTCATTCTTAAACAGCTAGCTCAATTATAGGTTGAAATACCATGGACTACTTGGTTATGTGACACCTGCTCACCACGGATTGGTTGTTCAGACCAACCAGTTACTAAGCAGAGAAAGATGCCTGTCTATTTCCCTAATAATTTATATTGTCATAAGCCTTTAGTTAATGAGTATGTTTATACTTTTAACCTAAAAGCAAAATACTCTGAATCAATCCTAAACTCCAAATATAACACTTTATATAATTAATTTTAGTGAGGTTACAATCACAAATGCAGTTTGTTTTATTTTAATTAGCCACATATTTATATTTCTAAAATTATACATTCACATTGATATTGCTTTCTTGTTCTGATTACAACAGAAAGAAACAGTTGGATAACTTTTTAAGTTGTTGGCAAATCAACTAGAGGTCCACATAATTTTGTTGTAGAATTGTGACAGTTTCAGGTTTAATAAAAAGATCTCTACCTGATGCCTCAGTTAGACCTTTTCGAAGTACACAGTACTAGGAGGATAATGTACAAATGTACCCCCATAATCATATTTAATAATTTTAAAAATGCTAAAAATTATTTTACATAAAAGCAATGAGGTAAAAAGAATGTGTTTTTGTATTTTTAAATTATATCCTAAAAATCACAAATCCTGACCTTACAGAGAAGAGCAATTACATGAAGGGCAATATTATACTCAGTTTATGTGACTTAATTTTGTTATAAAAGATAAATATTTACAACTCCAATTGATAGAATTCTTAGGATGGGAATTATGCTACTGGTGAAGTTACTGAACCATTATTCCCTTTATAAATACATTTTTTGTAGTTCTGTCTTTGTGTTTCTGGTTTTTATGAGATATAAAATCACTATGTTCCTGTTACTCTCTTGCTAGGACTGGAAAAAGTGCCAAAAAACCTGCCCGCTGACACAACCCTGCTGGATCTGCAAAACAACAAAATAACAGAAATCAAAGATGGAGACTTTAAGAATCTAAAGAACCTTCATGTAAGAACTTTATTTTTGTTTTGAAGACTATCAAATTTGCAATTCAAAAAATATCTTCAAAACTAAACCTAGATAAGCCCATGGGGAGCGAAAAGCCTCATATTTATTGCCCCTCCAAATAGCATCCACATAACTGAGGGTACATAAGAAAGTATTGCTTCCTGTTCAAGCATGCACAGGCTTATTGCAAATAAAAAGTATTTAAACAAGTCTCTGCAATAAGGGAATGTCTTCAGACAACTTCCGTTAATAATAAATACGCTTATCTTAGTCTCCTTAGGGCGACTTTAAAAAAAATATATCCAACCAAAAAAATGGCTTTAAAGAACAACTTCTGGGCTAGTAAAAATTCAAGTCCGAAGGGTCATCTCTAAAAGTCAGGGTCATTGGTTGTTGAAGTTTATGCTTCGGAGACTGATATTAGAAAACACTTATTTAAGCAAATACTAGAGAGCTATATTGAAAGAATTGCAACTAGCATACTTTTTAGAAGCAAGGATGTCCAAACATTGTCTCACAAACTTTGGACATGTTATCAGGAGATATCAGTCCCTGGAAAAGGACATCATACTGGGGGCACTAGAAGCCAGCACAAAAAGAAAAAGAGGAAGATTCAATGCTATGGATTGACACAGTGCTTGACATGACAGACACAAATATAACAGTTGTGCACATGGCACGGGAGTGGGCAGTATGTTATTCTGTTGTACGTGGGATTGTTATGAAACAGAGCTAATTTAGAACACCTCCCAACAACATGGAATCCTGGTGGAACTGTGCTTACAAGTTGGCGGCCAACCACAAAGTCAGCAGTTCGAAACCACCAGTGGGATAAAGATGGCGCTTCCTACTCCCATAAAAATGCACAGGTTCTGCATTCCACATTGAGTACATATTTATTTTCCAGCCTACTTTTAAAAATACAACAAAAATAACCACTAATGTCACCTTTACACCAGATAATATTCTTGTTGTTAGATGCCAACCCTTGTTTACGCATAGCTGCCCTAGATGCACCATAACAAAAGGCTCTCCGGGTCTTGTGCCGTGCTTATTCACTGTTGTGTTAGAGCCCATTGCTACAGCCACTGTGTCAGTTCACCTCAAGGGGCCTTCCTCTTCTTCATTGCCCCTCTCCTGGACCAAGGCTGGTGGACTTTTCTGGGACTGGTCTTTCCTCATAACCTGTCCAAAGCACTTGAGATAAATTATCAGCATCTTCCCTTCTAAGGGAGCATCCTGGCTGTGCTTATTTCAAATAAGAATTTTGCTTCACTAGCAAAGAAGGTTTCCCTGGAGGATTGTGTTCTTTCAAAAATTATCTAGATGTGAAAAATTAACAACGACTCGAAAGGTTTAGATGAAAACCTGAGAGAACAGTGAGTTTATTGAGAATGGTGAAATGATTTGGAAAAGATCTCAAGAAAAATCTCAGAACTTGAAAAAGAATGTCACAGAATTGTGCACCTAGAAACTGCAGAACTGGCATAGGTTTTGTTGTGCAGATTGTTACCAACATTTTTGAAATCGTTGAACATTGTGAAATATTGTCACCTGTGAATCTTCTCCCCCCACAAAAATATGAATACTGGGAAGAGAAAAGAAGCAGTGAGCGCAGCACAATCGATGTTCGTTTGACAAACACTTGAAAAAGATTGCATTCAACTTTGCAAGGGTGCTGGGAAGTTTGACCCGCTGATGTTTCTGGCACAATTGTAGTCACCTTTTGCAGTAGAATCCATGAGGCCAATCACTGAAGATGGATTTTGACATTGAAACCTGACTGAGGAACACTTGTGGTGACACTGGGCTTTTCTTGGGACGCTTACATAACTTTAGTAATTAATTTTAATATTCATGAATATTCTGTGTGGCATATCCTACCTGTTTCCCTTTTTCCTGGATTCTTGGAATTTTCCAGTTTCCCTGCCAGTCTCATGAAAGGACTGATTAATTTAGGCACTTGCTTTCTGTATGTAAACAGTTTGGGATTTAAGATGATATTTTTATTCTTCACCTGTAGGCGTTGATTCTTGTCAATAACAAAATCAGCAAAATCAGCCCTGCAGCCTTTGCACCGTTGGTGAAATTGGAACGGCTGTATCTGTCCAAGAACCAGCTCAAAGAATTGCCAGAAAAAATGCCCAAAACTCTTCAGGAGCTGCGTGCCCATGAGAATGAGATTACCAAAGTCCGAAAAAATGTGTTCAATGGAATGAATCAGATGATCGTCATAGGTATGGATTCTCTTGTAACTTGAAGACCACGGTTTAAGTTTCTCCTTATGAAATTTCAAGCAAGCTTTAGCTCCAGAAAGGCAACCAAGCCAGTGTGCCTTAATTCTATATCAAATAAAGCAGCACATGTAGGAGAAATTGGACTTTGATTCCATAATTTCAAGGAATATTTTTATTCTTTCTCTTTGAGGAACAGAGAACACAGAGAAAATATTAGACATGAAGTTATACTACAGCATGTTAAACATGCAGAATGCTTATGCTTAGAGATACTGGTGATGTATTTTCATTATGTGGAATCCTTGTGTTTTGAACAGCTATAAATTATTTGCATCATAAAGTCTTAATGTTTTTCTACCCATGTAGAAAAATTGTAATTTTATAATTTACTTAAAAATTCTAGACACAAATAATTTAATAAGATTATAAAGTAATTTAAGAGAATAAAGACAACTTCAGTGGTGCTGTCAGGAAAGCATCAGACTGCTACCTGAAAGTTCAGGTTCATACCTTCCAGCCTCCTCAAAGGAGAAAGATGTGGCTATATGCTCTCATAAAGATTTATAGCCTTGAGAACCCTACATATGGTCACAGAATTGACTTGCTATGGCAATGAGTTTTATTTTTCTGGATAAAAAAGTAATAGCCTTAACATGGGGGTGACCTGAGAACCCTTGCTTTTGTTGATTTCTGGATAAACCTATATATGCATTAAATTTAGGGTTGATTTTGTACTTCCATGTTTTACTTTCCTTTGTTTTAATATGGGAAGTTTTCATTGGTTTTTATATTCCATTGAGGAGTATAACCCTTAGCTACTATTTTGCTTTTCACGCCAGCTGTTATTGACACAGATCTCGAATAAAATTATTGTTTAAAGAGATATAGTCTGACTTGTATTATCAAAATATTTTCCTCTAAAATGTAGAAATTGGCACCAACCCGCTGAAGAGCTCAGGAATTGAGAACGGAGCCTTTCAAGGAATGAAGAGGCTCTCCTATATCCGTATTGCTGACACCAACATCACCACGATCCCTCAAGGTGACCAAACATGCTTCAATGTATTTTGATGACCTGATTTCAAAGACTTTAATGTTTGATTTTTTTTGAGGGAGTGGAGTGAATTTTGGATCACACTCATTCCTGACTCTTCTTTTGGTGTTCTAGTATGTCTACTTGAACTCTGCTTACTTCTTTATTCCCTTTGATATCTCAAAAGACTATGGCTCAAGATGCAGCCATAGATCAGATCCTGTGTTATTAACAGAACTGCCTCTACTCCAGCCCCAGTAACATTGTAGAGGTGAGGATTTACAACACCCAGGATAATTACATCAGATCACAAAAGAAAGGGTAATTTTATAATACTTAGAATCGTGATCCAGCCAAGTTTACACTTTTAGGAGGGACACAATTCAATCCATAACAATGTGTTTAAAATGTGAAGATACTTTAAAAAGGAGGGGACTGGAATACATGAAAGCCAATTTTCAAACAGGGCCAAACTTTTATTGAATTCTGTTTCATCTTAGGACATTTCAATTATTATTATCTGAAAAAGGCAATCCACAGTGGCCATCATTCTTATTCAATAGTAGTGATTATGTATTATAGGTAAGAGGTTAGAGGTAAGAGGCAGGTAAACAAGTAGATAGATAATAAAGCAGTTTAATATTTAGTTGTTAGTCTATTATGGATAAATAACTTCATGTATCCTCACTACAGTGATGTTCTAAGGCAGTATATGGTCTTTCCCCATGATTCATAGATTTCATATTTGTGATGTTTATTTTCTAAATATTATCTGCCCACTTTGACCATTATTCACTAATAAGCACATCACAGATTGTGAAAATACTCTTTACTACGCTTGAAAAAAAAGTAGCTCCCGACATCCACAAAACCCTCTGTCATTGAGCATCGTGACTCAGAGTGATCAGTTCAGACTGAGTGATCCACGAGAGGGTTTCCAAGGCTATCCATAGTTATGGAAATCGATAGCTTTATCTCTTTCCTGCAGCATGGCTGATACATTTGAACCATGGAACTTGTAGTTAAATTGGATTTGTCACCAACATTCCTTAAGACTGGCTCCTTATTTACTAAGTCAATATTCATAGGCACTTTCCCACAAATTATGATAATATACTTCATATATATTCCTTTGATTATCTGTGTATGCACACATGGAATTGATACATATGAAAAAATGAATAAGGGGCAAGTAAAACTACTTTCTACATTTCACAGAAGGCACATGATCAAATATTAAATAGCCTGCCTAAAATTACGTCACTTTAGCAGGTGAAGATTCTGTCTTTTTCACGACCTTATGCTGCCAGAAGACTCGCATTAAATGTATCCTACAAAATGTCCCTAGGAAATAAAATTTACCTTGTAGCAAGTGCCAGGCATTGTGCCCAATTCTTTTGATGCATTCTTTATGTTATTCTCCAAACATTCCATTATCATCTTTGTTTTATGAATGAGGACAATGAGGTTTCAAACGATTAAATACATAGTATCCAATGCAAGGAATCAGAAAATGGTAGAACTAGGATGGCATCAGAGTGACATCGGAGCGCATGTACCTACTTTCTTAAGTCTTCTCTCCTGTATGTCTTTTTAATTTACCAATCTCCCTTTTGTAGGATGAAAACCTTCCTTGTGCCTAGGCACGCCCAACCTCCGAGTGAGTTGATTTGCAGGTACTCTTGTCCAACACTCAGGGAAACAGAAAGACCGAGTGTCGTGTAGAAACTGTAACATCACTCTCTGGAATCAACCCAGTCTAGGTCTGATTCATCTAGTGTGCTGCAGAGTGACTTTAGACAGAACAATTTACTTCTCTGAAGCCCCAGTTTTGTTTTCTGTAAATGGAGGTATTAATAGCACCTATCTGCTATGGATTATTATGAGGATTAACTAATAGAAAGCCTGTAATGGGGGCCCTGGTAACGCTGTCAGGTAAGTGTTGGATTGTGGTTCAAACCCAAAAGGACAAAGAGGAGGTCCCTCTGCTCTCATTGAGAGTTGCAATCGATGCTAGGATTCAGCAAACCTCTGACACAGACGAGCCAATCAGGCCCGTCACAACACTGTAAAAATTATTCTAGGGCCATAAATCTGGTTTTACCAAAAAATGAAATCAGAATTATCTAAATAATAACCTTTACATTATTTCCAATTCTACTTCAGAATTATGTGTATATACCCAAAGCACCGCACTATGGTTCAAGAGGCCGTGGCCAATACCTGGACTAGAGGACAGTGGGTTGGAAGGTGCACACACTGTACCTGGCCAACAAAAAAAAATTTGGAAATCTCAATTTATATGCATCTTTAAAACAAAGGAAGAAAAATTAACTTAAGTATAGGATCTATAGCTAAATACCTTGGGGCAAAGGCTAATGATGTTCTTCATAAATGGGTCTCTGCCTTATTTGACAGGTTTTCTTTCATAATCAGACTTTATGCTCCTACAATTGTTTTCTAGAAATCAGGGAACTAACAACCCTGAAGGGAAGACACTAGGTAAGACCGATTGATGTGATTACTGTGAGCATTAACTGATACAAAGCTTGTATCGAGGGCCTGGGTAGCACTATCATTGGCAGATCATAGACACCTTTAAATAAAAAACCTTTCTACAGTGGAAAGAAGAAAAGATGCATTTTCAGTTTACTTGTTTTATACTCATTTACTTTGCTTATGAGAGTATTAAGTAAATTACATTCATTTTAAAGATAATCAAGTGATTGAAACCTCTTGTTGCCATAGTGATATGATTTCTTAATATGGTTTCTTAATTGTCATAAAGACAATGCAATATTTTTACATTTCCCCCAGTTAAGTGCATGCTATTTTCTTTTCCTTTGGCCATCAGGGAGAACACTGCATTCCTTACTCGGGTTGTGAAAAGTGTAATTTCTTTGAGCCTCTGCTTTCTCATCTATAAAAAGGGGTTAATGATGTTGCGAAGATTTAAAAAACTAAGTTATGGAAAGCTCCATTCTGGGCACCAAAAAAAAGTCTATTTTCTTACCATCTCCCAAAACAGGACATAACAACGCTAGAGAAATAAATATTCATTAAATGTAAGGTGAATTGAACATTTACATTAAGTTGATAGAATCTATGAGATGTAATGGAAATTTCCGAACAAACATCATCTGTGATCTTCCAATTTTGTGTCCTTATTGACAGTAACCAAGAGTGCCAGGCAATCCGAAGTCAGTTCTACATGTAAAATGTTTCCACGTGATTTGCAGTTGTTGTTCTTACTAAAATTGGAACGAGGTGTTTTAAATGTTAAATGAAAACATAACACACACTCAAATAGCAGAAGGAAATAAAAATAAAGTATTTAAATTTCTATATCTACATTATAAAATCTGTAAAAATTTGATTCATTCAGGAAGTATTATCCAGAGGGTTAGTGGGTCCTTTGTGTTTAAAATGGTCTCATATGCTCTACCTGTGGCAGGTCACTTAAGAACAGGCCTCTGCACTTCTCTTTGAGAAAGGAACCATTTGTTTTAAAAGATGTCAATAACAGTTAGCTCTTTCCAAACACACATTTAGGAGACATTTGTGCTTTCATGGAAAGAGAATGTAGACTTAGGCCAGCACAACAGTGTCAATTCTTACTTACTTTCCATATGTACACGTAAGATTGCACGAGTTTAACTTAAAAGTAATATGCTTATTATACTTTTATTTTAAATTATAGTTCAAATGCCTATCACTCTATTTCAAAATTTGTATGTCTTAATGGTGGCAGTGTTTGCCATTAACGATGGTGAAAGAGAATACGGAAATTTAGTGTTGAGCTTCACTTCTGTAATTATATCCTAACAATTTCTACGGCCAACAATTACTTACCATAAACAGGAATCCATGTTTTTATTAGTCAACCAATTTTAGGAGAAAAATAGTAAGGACTAGTGCTACTTCAAAAAATTAGACTATCAGAAAGAATAGTATCTGGAGTCTTAAAGCCTTGTCTTCAAACAAGACACCATCTAAGTGGGTTGTCATGGAGTGCACAGGGAAAGAGCACACTAACCTATGTGATCCAAGAACTGTAAATGATAAAATCCAAGAGCAGAAGAAGGAATCGTATTGGAGCTCAAATTCAAAGTGCTTGGTTTTTCAGAAGGCTGTGGATCACAGTGAAAGCCCAAGATCCATTTGCAGAGTTTGCATAAGAATCAAGCCTCCTTTAAATGACCTCAGACTATGGACCAGGGTGGTGAAGAGCCTTGCCCTCTGAGATTTGGAAGAGTGCATTGCTGAAGATGTAGGCAGGGTGAAATTTAACAGATGATCATTTGTTCGCCTTTTTGAACCAGTTTTGTTATTTGTTCTAATTTCTGTTAACTTCTATTTTCTCTTAAATTGATATTTTTTGGTGTTTTATCTGATTGTCACTGTTGTTGTCCTTTCGTGTGATTTTCTATATATGAAATCCAGCATAGGTAAATGTATAGAGACAGTAACTAGATTCATAGTTCCTGGAGGTTACGGCAGGGGTAGTTGGTGGGGGTGGAGCTAATGATGATGAGTACGAGATTTAAGAAGCTGTGCTGAAATGGATTGTGGTGGTAATGGCACAACCTTTTGCACCATATTTAAACCTTTGAATTACATGGTATCTCAATTATGTCAATAAAACTGCTAAAAATGAAAAACTAATATATTAACTTAGAAGAAATGATAGAAAAAGACGAAAAGCTACACCAAGTCTTTAAAATTATAAATCTTCTCAGTGCAAGAACACATTGTTCTATTAAATTGGCATTCCGCGATGCACACCTTCCCGGCATGATCACTGAAAACAAATGTGTGCATAAACAAATGTGGTGAAGAAAGCTGATGGTGCCTGGCTATCAAAAGATATAGCATCTGGGGGTCTTAAAGGCTTGCAGATAAACAAGCGGCCATCTAGCTGAGAAGCATCAAAGCCCACATGGAAGAAGAACACCAGCCTGTGTAAGACCACAATGTGTAGAGGGCACCAGGTATCAGACATCAAAGAGCAAAAAATCCTATCAGTGGGTGCCCACCTACCTGATATGATCACTGAAGATAAACGTATGCATAAGCAAATGTGGTGAAGAAAGCTGATGGTTCCCAGCTATCAAATGATAGAACAACTGGGATCTTAAAGGCTTGAAGATAAACAAGTGGCCAACTAGCTCAGAAGCAACAAAGCCCACATGGAAGAAGCACGCCAGCTTGTGTGACCACGAGGTGTCAAAGGGATCAGGTATCAAGCATCAAAGAACAAAAATCATATCATTGTAAATGAGGGTGAGTGGAGAATGGAGACTCAAAGCCCATTTGTGGGCAACTGAACACCGCCTTACTGAAGGGTTGTGGGGAGGAAATGAGCCAATAAGGGTGCAGGGTAGCAACAATGAAACATAAAACTTTCCTCTAGTTCTTAAATGCTTCCTCCTTCCCACTGTCATGATCCCAATTCTACCTTACAAATCTGGCTAGACCAGAGGATGTACATTGGTACAGAGAGGAACTGGAAACACAGGGAATCCAGGACAATTGACACTTTCAGGACCAGTGATGAGAGTGGCAATGCCTGGAGGGTGGAGGGAATGTGGGGTGCAAAGGGGGAACCGATTACAAGGATCTACCTATAACCTCCTCCCTGGGGGATGGACAACAAAGAAGTGGGTGAGGGGAGACATAGTACAGTGTAATACACGACAAAATAATAATAATTCAAAAATTATGAAGGTTCATGAGGGAGGGTGGGTAAGTGGGGAGGAGGGGGAAAATGAGGAGCCAATATTAAGGACTCAAGTAGAAGGCACATGTTTTGAGAATGATGAGGGCAACGGATGTACAAATGTCCTTGACACAATGGATGTATGTATGGATTGTGATAAGAATTGTACAAGCATCCAATAAAAAGATTTTTTTAAATTATAAATCTTCAAGAAAACTAATTATGTGTGTCCTCCTCAAGTTTTTCTATATTCTGTGATTAAAATGTTTATCTATTATTTTAGCATCTTGTATGTCTATGTTCTAGGTCTTCCTACTTCCCTTACTGAATTGCATCTTGATGGCAACAAAATCACCAAGGTCGATGCACCTAGCCTAAAAGGATTGAGTAATCTGGCTAAGTAAGTAATATTATTACATAGCATTCTTTCAGTACAAGGACTAGGTGCAGTAGCATGCACCTGCTCAGAATTCAAAATATGGCAACTGATTTTTTAAATGATATTGTATTATGTTTTTGGTGAAGGCTTATACAGCACATTAAGTTCCCATTGAGAAATTTCTGCACAAGGTGTTATGACATTGTGTACATTCTTGTTATTTCATTTATGACAACTAAATTTAACTGCAACATTTGTTGCTGTTGTTAACAACCTCAACTGAACTTTGGCCAATTTTTTCTGAGGAAATATTCAATAAAATAACATAGCTAATAATATCCACCAACATTGGCCTCATATTTTATGAATATCATACTGTATAAGAAAATCTGTATGTCCATTCAATATGTTCTGATTTAGTTGCATAAAGCAGAAGTTTAACAGAATTACAATGTACTACTGAAAATTTGAAAATATATTAAAATTAAAGGTACCAGGAATACGGAATACATTCTAGTTATAGTATCAGAAATTTTATGATGGGCTCCTCTAGCCCTTAATGATCAGTAGAGTTAAAAAATAAAATGTCTTTATATTTAAAGTAAACCAACAGAAAACATGGCATTTTAGGCCCTTATTAACTTATTTTTTTAATTACCTATCTTGATTTCTATCATAACTTGTGTTTTGTGGAAATCTAGCAAAGTAGTAAGAATAGGAGAGTGCTGTCAAAATTCCTTCAGATATCTTCAAAGGATCTATTGTTCTTGATCCACCTGTGTAACTAAATGTTCCCACAGAGACACAAAGTTTAAGCCTAATGATCAATCCTTTTTCAGAAAAGAATTTCACAGTACACAAAGAAATACTATATATATATATGTATATACATATCTGACATCACTAATCCCAGATCATGTACAATGCAGGTTTTCCCTTTTGTGTGGGTATTGATGATTGACTAATAGATGGTGAGAGTTTAAGGTTAGAATGAGTTTACAACAATAACTACAACATATTACACTGATGTCTCAAAACCTGCCGGCTAGAGTTATTTTAATTGAAATAACACTTTCACAATAGTAATGTATAGTATCTAACTTTTTGACTAATGTAATAGTAATGTATAATATCTAACTTTCTTTCTTTAATATGTCCCTCGAGCCGAAGGAAAATGTGGGAAGATAAATTGCATTGCATAGAGTGTCCAATTATATTTAAGATAGTTTAATGTATAATCATAGCACTAATAATGCTAACCATTATTATTCAGGAGCTCTAGTGGCACAGTGGTTACACAATGGTCTGCAATCCCAAAGGTAACCAGTTCAAAACTACCAGCTGTTCCACAGGAAAAAGACAGGTTTTTCTGCTTCTATCAACAGTTACAGTCCCGGAAAACTCATGGGGCAGTTCCACCCTGTCCTCTGGGGACACTATCAGTCACCACCAACTCAATCACAGTGAATACTACTCCTCCTCCCAGTAGTAGCAGTAAGAATGCACAGCATTATAGAGTTCTGAGTAAATTTTCATACTACGGATGTCCTCCAGAAAAAGTGGTCCTTTATTCTATAAGTGGAATGGAAGTTTTAGAAATTCTAAACTTAATATTCATTGATGTCATATGTAAGGAATCGAATAGAAGCATAGAGAGCTATCAGAGTTTTTTTTAATGTGGAAAATTCTGATTTCTCTCTAATGGGATATGTAATTCCACTCATTAAATTAAAGCAGACTGTCTTATTGGCTAGACAAACTTTCCCAGCTCAATAATTTGTTTAACGCATTACTTTTCAGAATCAAATCCCGAGAAATCTATTAAAGAAGTAATCCTTATGCGTTTATTTCTTATTAATGTTGGGACCTGACGAGCATACTGGTGGTGAAAATGAAAACTGTGAAAAGATGAATCAGGCTCTTAGAATATTGTTGCTGGGAAAATATCCGGTGGTTTACTCAGGACAACTGGGAGAGCTTAAGGCCTGCCTCTGGAGAAACATTAAATGATTTTCAGGTCAATTCCCCTTGCTTCTACTAAGTATACCAATCCTCAGATCCCTAACTAAGTTAAAATATTCTTCAATGGAGAAAGCATCATTTTAGATCCATTTATATCCCCTCCCCCTCTGCATTCCTGAATTTACTTCATTCACAATAATATGAGTGTCAAAAGCATTTATTAAGTATATTAAAATCCTAGTTGAACAAATTAATAGAGTCCTTGAATATATTATTGGGGCTATTTTAATCCCCTAATAGATGTACTACTCCAAAACAAAATGGAAAAGATTGGGGTGTTTTCAAAATTAGGAAACAAATCTGGAATGGAAAAGGGAAAAAACAAAATTTAGAAATGGATGCCTAAGTGGTAGAGAAGAAACAGCCTGTTTCAGAGCCAAAATGCCAGGCTGATCACAGCTACGCAAAACTATGTGATCAATCCCTTGTAATCAGGAAACCGTAAACTCCATTATTTCAAATCTCAAGCCAAGGTTGAAAGGGGGAGCCAGAAAATTTCCAAAAGTTGTTCCAAACGTTCAAAAAGACCAGAACTGGCTTAAGACAGGTAGAGATTGTCTCACAAAACATACCCAAAAGACACTTGCATGGTGTTGGAGTGAACCCAAAAGATTGTCTCTTTCATTTGCTGGATCTTTCTGGCTCTGTCCATTACCTTTTTGCCTCATGCCTGAAATCTCCTCTTGGTCATTTAGGATCTATACCACCTGCTGACATAATTAGTAACATGTTGGGCTGATCACCACAAGGTCAGAAGTTTGAACGATCCAGACTCCCCAGGAGAAAGATGAAGATGTAGTCTTCTGTACAGGGTTACAGCCTCGGAACCCCAAAGGGGCGGCTCTGCTCTGTGTTCTAAGGTCACTCCGACTGGATGACAGCCTTTACATTTGATTTTGCTGTGCTTTTGATCCCCTAACATCCCTAAAATGTTAACCAGATTGGTTTTGTCTCCAAGTTTGCTCGTTTCTAGAACGGAAATCCCATTTATTTTGAGGCAATATTACATCATCAGAGTTCTCAAATGTTTTGGAAAAAAATACATAAGCCAAAACTTTGAATGTATTAAACTTGAAGAGAAGATTATTTATTAATTTAATTAGAGATGTGAAAGGAGTCAGGAGACAGAGTTTTAAGTAGAAAGGATAGTAGCAATCCAGGAAGGTTGGCACCAGGTAAAGTCTGACAGTGATATTTATATAATCATTGAAAAACTCTTCCATACTAAGGCAAAATTAGACTCTCTGCTTATTAGCAGGCAGGTCTATTGATTTATGAGAACACTCGATCTTTTATTTCCATTGAAGACATACATATGATTCATACACTATTGCTTAATTTCTAAAGTGACCTGAGTGATTGTATGGTTAGTTTTCTATCAAAGAAACATAAGAATTACCCATGGAATTAAATCTAACAGCAATCTATTGAGCAGGTCAAGCATTGGGTTAGTCCTGGGTGTACTACAGGACTGTAAATAGTTTCAAGTAAACTTGCATTTCAGAGAGAGATTTGCACAGGCATTTAAAACACAGTTTGTTAAATTTTACTAGAGGGTAATAACAGGATACTGCTTCATCATTCAAGAGGAACAATACTTCATCAGTCTTATAGAGAGGAGAAAGTGACTCTGAACTGAAACCTTAAAAGCAGTGGCTATAGAAATTGAACAGCACAGAAAAACTCGGTGACGCCAACCAAAAGAAACGTGCTTTCCAACTGGCCTCTTTCCTCACAGAGCACCTGTAAGACAGAGAACCAAGTGTGCAAATGCATTCCACATCTTTTTTCGTTGCAGGTTGGGACTGAGTCACAACAGCATCTCCACCGTGGACAATGGCTCGCTGGCCAATGTAATGCATTTGAGGGAGCTCCACTTGGACAACAACAAACTTCTCAAAGTGCCTGCTGGCCTGGCGGAACATAAGTATATCCAGGTAACTCAAGACCAGTCCCCAGGGGGCCCCGGCTGTCCGTGCTGTCACGTTGGCTCTGACTTACGAACCACGGAAGGAAACACTGCCCGGGCCTACAGTACTCTTGTCTTTGAGCCCATTGGTGCAGTCATGGTGCCAATCTATCTTTTCTAGTGTCTTCCTCCTTTTGCTAGCCTTCTACTTTAGCAAGCACGAAGTCCTTTTTCAGGGACTGGTCCCTGGGTGGTATAAAATGGTTAATGCACTCAGCTCCTAACCCAAAGTTTCGAGGTTCAAATTGCACTTGCTGACTCAGAAGAAAGACCTGATAGCCTACTGGTGAACGCCAGCCATTAAAAACCCTGCGGGGCAGACCCTACTCTGACACACGGGAGCTTTCAGGGAGGCAGGATGGACGCCAGAACACCTGGGAACAAACGGACAGGACTCACAAAACCCTCCCCGTTGCAGACTTAGTGGGGCTAAGGTTAGCAGCTCACCCCAACCCCCTACTACTACCATCCCCCCCCCACACACACATACCCCAACTACTCTGAGGGAGAAAAGACTGAGCCAATTCTTCCCACACAAAAATGCAATCGAAGAAATTCTGTGGGGACAGCTCCACTGCTCTATAGGGTTTTTGCGTCCGAATCGACCCTGGACACGCAATGAAACCAGTGCCGTGCTAGAGAAAGGGAGCTCTACTTCAAAACCTATCTGGAGATAGCATTGTTTTCATGTAACTATTCATTGGGATTTTTGTGAAAAATGTGTTAAATTATTCATCTGTTTTTAATCAGCATTCGAAATCACATGCTTCATGAAGCTTGCTACCAAAGTGTAATATATTTTATAACAGGGTAGTTTTAAGTCACACCAGTACTATGCACCAACTACATACATAACAGTTGGACAAGCTAACTTCTATGCAATATGGTACAGTGATATGGAATAAAATAGTAGTTTAAAGTTGTAGCTTGAGCCCGATGTCAAATAATTTGAAGGGACATTAGCTGCAGTATGACTGAATCAGCTTCCCATAAATTGCCATGTTATAATAAGAATGATATGATAGTGTTCACTTTTGAAATTTATAAATCTAGATATGAGGTGTTTAAATGGTTAAAATAACTATACTAACTTTATCCATGAAGGTGTGTTATGCTTTTACTTTAAAGAAATAAAACGTTATTAAAATTATCCAAATTTTAAGATTTAACAGTATGATCATCTGACAATTTAATAGATATTTTCCTTCTTTATTTTAATCTAATATTTGTTTTTAACAAGGTCATACTTAGATTTTATTTCTTTTGGAAATGTACACAGGCATTTGGTGCCATCATGATGGCTCAGAAACAATATCTTTATTTTCTTTTATAAGTTAAATAATTTTATGAACCTGT